ATATAACTTCCCCGTCATTAAGGTTATTTCGCTGGTAAGAAGATTGATGAAATAATCATTTACACACTCCATTACCTTCTGATGGCCTTCATTGATCCGATCGTCTTTGTTATGGGACAATCCAAGTACCACATCGGTAATACAAGGGAAGGGACCCTTGTATAAAAGTGCCCACCTAGCCCAATTAGTACGAGACCTTTTGGGGAGGACACCCAAGAGTAAAACCGTGCGGGTTTGGCCCAAAGCGGACAATATCGTACTAATTGAGCATGCCCCGTTATGACAAGTGGTATCAGAGCCTGGTTCGGTCCGGGGCGGTAGACGTCAGTTTGGTGAGGCCCTGGTTTGGTGGCCTCGGGATTTACGATCCGCGTTCGTTTGGCAGATCAAACAGAGTTCTGCGTCTGGGCTGTTTGGTGGATCCAGGAGAGATCCACGTCTATTTGGCGGATCAAAGAGAGTTTCGCGTCTGGAAAAATCCTTGTAACGAGAAGCCCATCGATACAAGGTGTCTGGCATATCAAGATAATCGCTGAGGTGATGACACGATGTTCGTGGTCCTTGTCTTGAGGGGAGGATTGTTATGGGACAATCCAAGTACCACATCGGTAATACAAGGGAAGGAACCCTTGTATAAAAGTGCCCACCCAGCCCAATTAGTATGAGGCCTTTTGGGGAGGACACCCAAGAGTAAAACCGTGCGGGCTTGGCCCAAAGCAGACAATATCGTACAAATTGAGCTCCCTGGTTATGACAAGTGGTATCAGAGCCTGGTTCGGATCCAGAGCAGTGGACGTCTATTTGGTGGGACCCTCGTTCGGTGACCTCGAGATTTGAGATCTGCGTTTGTCTGGCAGGTCAAAGGTGATTCGCGTCTGTTTGGTGGATCCGGGAGAGATCCACGTTTATGCTTGGCTGATTAAAGAGAGTTCCGCATTTGGGAAGCAGATTAAAGAGAGTTCTGCATCTGGTAAAGTCCTTGTACCGAGAAGTCCATTGATACATGGCGTCTAGCAGATCAAGATAATCGCTGCGGTGAGGACACGAAGTTCGTGGTCCTTGTATTGAGGGGAGGATTGTTATGGGACAATCCAAGTATCACATCGGAAATACAAGGGAAGGGACCCTTGTATATTAGTGTCCACCAAGCTCATTAGTACGAGGCCTTTTGGGGAGGATACCCAAGAGTAAAACCGTGCGGCTTGGCCCAAAGCAGACAATATCGTACAAATTGAGCTCCCTGGTTATGACAGTCTTCGGTTGGAAATTTCTTGTTCGTATTTTGTTGTTGTTGGTGACTTGGTGTAGGTAATAGTGTAAGATCCATTCTTGGATCAATTAGTTCTATTTCTATATATCTTACTTGAGTGTTTGATTTAAGGGTCTAATGTTTGAATTTCCAAGTTCACCAAAATTAATAGTCAATTTACGCATTTGGTAATGAGCACTTCTACTATGCTATAAAGCATGGGTGCTTTAATGTACAACTTAAAGTTGTACCATAATATAAAATGTATAAGTTTGGGTTGTACCATAAAGGAATTTGTACCCTTATGTTATGGTACAACTTCACAACTTTAAGTTGTACCATCACATAAAGGTACAAGTTCAAGTTGTACCATAAAAGAATTTGTAAAATAGTATAGGTACAAGCTGAAGTTATACCATAACGTTAAAGGTACAACTTGAAGTTGTACCATAAAGGCAAAAACCTATAGCACCAATGCTATATAGCATTGTAAAATTTCTCTTTGGTAATATGGTAGAGCCTCTAGAAATTTAAACTTCAGGGATTGACTTTTGTTTAGGTTAATGGATAAGGAAATAGTATGAAATTCATTTTTTTTATCTTTCCAAACAAGTCGAACTATTGAGAATAATTCATTCTCGATTTTTTTATTACCCAGGAACCTCATCCCCACGTGTCACTTTGTGATAGCGGGTCCTACTAAACCTGCGGCACCTGCAATCAAATTCGAAGTCAACGGGGCTTCGCCTCCAGTAGCCTTGTACCTCTGAGAACACCAACGACCCTGGCTTGTATTCGAATCTGGGATCTGCAACTCCCAAACCTTCATTGTCGCGGCAGGTTTACCGTTAGACTATCTTACCTTTGGTACTATTCATTCTCGATTAGCTAGAACTTTATCGTATACCTTTTATATCTCTAATTAATTTAATTTAAGAATTTATGTAATTGGTTTTATATATTGTTTTAGAGCGTGGAATATTAATTTTCTCTTTCAAGTTATATAGAAAAATGGATAATATCATGAAGAGCACACATAATTTTAAGTTAACACAAATAAAACTAAGGGAGGAATGATTCTATACTTTTACATTAATTTGAATTATGCACTCGATCCTTCCAAAAAAATGAAGGCACCGTGACAATTATACCGTATATCTCTTTAAGAACCGTGCCATGTATCGAAGTTGCATTGTTTTCTTTCCATCAACAAAACTAACCGCAATGATGGTGTTGTATCATCATCCAATCTGCCTGATTTTTGCAAGGTAGATTGAATTTTGAGACCATCCCCAGCTTGGAAATGGTTGAAATTCTGTTCCAGCTTTTGCCTTTCCATCTCTCAATAAAAGACAACACCAACTTTTGCCTTTTGTTCCCAATAGCAACCTTACCGCCCTCCAGTCCAGCACGCCGCCTGCCGCCCCGTCGGCGGTCCGCCTTGTTCAACGATTGATGAGTGTTCGTTTCATTTTTATACATGTTTTTAAGCAAACCAACATGATTGATTAGTTAGTGTGAAATTTCATGCAACTTTTATTCGGCTCCACTTTATAGCTTACCGACGCGGTCGAGGATCTATCATGATGCATCAAAAACCCAATTCCCCGACCGCTAACTGTTTGATACGAAAGTCAATTACATGGTGATGATCAAGGTTGTATCTTTTCTTTTATGATTAAGGGGTAAAGTAGTTGTCGGGTAGTCAACCTAATCATGGTAAAAGAGATCAACATGTGTGGTGTTGCGTTTGGATATATTTTGTGGAGATCTTGCTACCTAGTTGGGAAAAGATGTGGTGCAGTCCCTAGCGAATTATATTTACGGTTGAAGAGTTTTTTGGCTTGTTTGAGCTTGTAGAAAGATTGATAAGTTCGTGCTAGACCATGCTCAGCTTGATAAGTTCGTGAGCTAGCTTGATTCGTTGGCTTGTTTTGAGCTTGTAGAAAGATTAATCACTCATATGAACATGAACATTATCTTGTTCATATGGATGTGTATGGAAGTTGGTTGTTATTTTTAGTTTCTAGTGTTCTTTTTATCATTTAAATTCTTATGTTATGTGTACACATTTTTCAACAAGAATGATTTTAGGTCGAGCTCATCTTGAGCCTAGCTTGTACTTAGCTTGACAAGTTGTGTTAATGAGCATTTATCGAGCTCTACCGAGTCGAGTTCGAGTTGGATTATTTTTAATCCAGCCGAGCTCGAGCGTCGAGTTCGAGCTGAAGAATTTACAAACGAGCCGAGCTCAAACTAAGCACTCGACTCTTTTGTGGCCCTAGTTGGGTAGAGGTGTGCAAAGGTAGGACGCTTACACCATATCATACCGAACATAATTTAATGTTGTCCAGTTTTTAAGGACGAATTCCAAAAATACACATGTTTTTAAAAAAAATTCCCAAAATACACACGTTATAAATTTTTTTCCCAAAATACACATGTTTGGGCATCACCGCTGTTGTCAACCGCAGTGAATGCATTCATCGCGGCAGACCAAAGCGGTGAATGCATCACCGCGGTTGACAGCCGCGGTGAATGCCCGACTTAACTCTGAAACTTCAAACAAACGTAACTTTGCGCTCGGTTATCCGATTGTAGCGAAATTTTTTTTTTTTATTCCATATAACTTTTCAAGATCTTTCAATCTGCAACAAGACTTCATCTCAAAAAAATGTCGTTTGTTACCCCGAACGAGCAATTTTTCAATTTTGCCAAACTTTGGAAGGACATAACTTTTAGCTCCTCAATCCGAACGTCGTAAAGTTTTTTTTTGATTGCGCATAACTTTTTAAGAACTACAACTTTGACTAGGATATAATTTTTTAAAAAAGAAGTATTTTTGGGTATACGGGATTTTGGGAATAATTTTGCCTGTACTTTTCACAAATCCACATACTTTCCAAAATTATGGTTATAATCAAAGTTGTAGTGCTTCAAAAGTTATGCAAAATCAAAAAAAGTTTAATGACATTCGGATTGTGGAGTATAAAGTTATGACCTTCCAAAGTTTGTCAAAATCGAAAAATTGCTCGTTCGGGGTAGCAAATGATTTTTTTTTGGGATGAAGTCTATTTCAGATTGAAAGATCTTGAAAAGTTATGTGGAATAAAATAAAAAAAAATTCGCTACAATCGGATAACCGAGCGAAAAGTTACGTTTGTTTGAAGTTTCAGTGTTACGTCAGGCATTCACCGCGACCGTCAACCGTGGTGATGCATTCACCGCTTTGGTCTGTCGCGGTGATGCCCAAACATGTGTATTTTGAGAAAAAATTTTATAACGTGTGTATTTTGGGAATTTTTTTTTTAAAATATGTGTATTTTGGGATTTTTTCCGGTTTTTAATTGGTTGGTCCCATAAATTTTATTAATGTAGAAGAAAAATGAAACTAATTGACGTTCGGACTGGATGCATATTCAATCCGATCATATATTGTCTTTTACTATTGGACCGTTGTTCTCAAGAGTATAATCCGGTCCGGAACGAAAGTTTGCACACTCTTACCTTGGCAGGCTAGGCCCATTAAGAATTATTATTATTCTTTTTTAGTTTGGGCCATTCAAAAATTTGTTAATTTGAGCCTTCGCCATCCTCAACTCGGACTGGATTCATACTGCCTGCCTTCTACCACCTCAGCCCATCAGTAAGAAGCCCTAATTTGACACCGAGTAAGTAACCCCGAATTTGGTTACGTTAACTCAGCGACGGACTTTCGAGTTTGACCGACAGAACTCTGAAGACATTCATAGTTTCATACCGCAACTCCGCAACGTCGAATTCAGAGCAGCTGGTGACCGTTGTTTTTCAGCAGCCTCTACTCTTCTGTATCCTCTCCGGCAACAGAAAGCTAAAAAAGATCAAGCCATCAACTTGACCGAAAAAAGTTGCTTCGAAGAAACTTAAAACCATGCCACAAGGTTTCTCTACTGTCTCTCACCCTTTGTTTTTCCACTTCGTATGTATGTTTGAATTTGTGCTTTTATCGGCGTTATGAATTCTAAAGTTTTAGCCTTTCGATTCTCATGGTGTGCCAGAGCTTCCTGGGTTCTACTATGACGCCGAGAAGAACAGATATTTCCCTCTCAAAGGCCCAATCCCCGGTTCTTCCCGTGCCTCTTCCTCTTCCTCTTCTTCTTCGTATGCTGCTGATCGTAAAAACCCTAAACAGAATACTTCTCAGGTTAGTTTTCCGTCCATGATTTAGTATGGTGTGGCTATTTTATCGTTAATGAGACCAGGATGGTGGAATCCTAAGTTGCTGTCTGAAGTCCTTGGAATTAATCCATTTGTTCTGGTTTCACTTGCAGGCAGACAAATATTGCAGGACTCGAGTAAAAACTCATAGATTGCTTCAGGGCAGGGAGTTGAATGGCAATGTGGTTTCTGTTAGTAAATCAAAGTACAATTTTGTCCAAGAATACCAGAAGGCACAAGCTTCTCAACCGGTGGTAGGTTTAAGCTTTTTTGTATCGAGCTGTTTTTATGGGGAGCATACCTTCCCTGAATCTATTTTTGTTGTTGTTTGTTACTGGATCAGGGCAAAATTGTGTCTGCTAGGAGTCTTCTCTTTTGTTCTGGAAAATCTGCTGTTTTCAACTTTTGTGTGTCAAAACTCTTAGTATGGAAGCAAGCCAATAGGACGTTGATAGTTTATATCTCGTGTAATCAGCAGAAGTATGTTCTCCGTTTTTGTCTGTAGCATTAGTTGTTGGGAAATCGGTCATTGCTTGATAGTAGCCCTGCCTTTGTTTGCCTCGTGGATTTTTATTTGACATTGATACTTAAGCTTGGTCCTGCGTGGTTCAGTATGTCGTGGAAAGATGCCGTAGGATAAATCTTCTTGGTGCCCATGGCGGGTTTTCAGTAGTATTTCTCTAAAAATTAAATTACCGATCTTAATTGGTTAGCTATGCCATGACAATCTTTTCAGCTTTTTATCTTGACATGTCCTGAATTGTATGTTATGGAATGCCTATGGTTTTGAATTATTTTTATGCGCAGCTATGGAGAAAGTTATGTTTTTTATTTCGTTTCTATGCATGCAGGTTTGGAGGTATCAAGAGCCTGGCGAGTTGGCGTGTGATGGTGGTTTGGATCAGACAAGTTTTTGCATACAGAAACCCGATGGTCAAGTTAATATGGACATTCTAGTGGCAGGAGGTATAAATGGCTGCTTGAGGTAATTACTTACACTTGCTTATTAAAAATTTATGCCTTCTCAAACATTCCTGGATGCAGTAGGTTTTCCTGTACTTATCAGAGCTGTGGATTTTTTAAAATAGTTTAGGGTTTGTGATGCACATACTCTTATGTGAATTGGGTCTGTTTTTATGCGGATTAAGCCCGCCCACTAGATGTACTATGATACAATGAAACAAAGTAATTGCCTTCTGTATGGCTAAGAAATTATTTTGTTGATATCACGAGTCATAACTTTTCTGTAGACTACCTTTTGTCTTGCCGGAAATTATTTTTATGCAATACTTAGCACTTGATGGACAGATCAGGTAGTAGGTACCAACTCCTTAGAATGATTATGAAGTTGTTTCTGCTTCATCTTTTTCTCCTAGCTTATGACATCTCATGGGTGTCTTGACTACTGCTTTCTGTGTGGTTGTGTATTCCTGTTTGACTATTCTCGTGGATGATGCTTTTAGCGCTCTGGAATGTACTACTCTGTAAATTATCTCTTTTATTATCTATGGTATCTTATTTCCTCATTGCTGGTACCCAGAGTAGTAATCATATTAGTTTATGAGCTCTTTCTTTTGAAGTTCGGTGCTCTTGCAGTGTTATTGAAGTTGGAAATGGTGGTCATCATCAATTAAACCGCGTTATGCCAGATCGTGTGTGGCCCTCAACAATAGGAGATAGAACAAATAAACCACCTGAACATGTTCGAAGATCGTATTCAAATTTTTTGAGTTCAAGCATATCTTCTGTGAAACTGCTCGGGAGGACTTCTCATCTGAGTGCTGATATAGGTTGTCACATCCAGCATGGCCTGTATCCTATATGTTTGATATTTCCAGATGTCTTTTTGCTGCCCCTTAGTGAAATTCTGAGGATTTGTTCCTTTTTCTATTTTGGCAAAACATTGAAGCAGAATTTATCTCCTTTATGTTTGATATTTCCAGATGTCTTTTTGCTGACCCTTAGTGTAATTTCCGAGGATTTGTTCCTGTCATCTGTAACAATTGTTCAAAAATGCTATTTTCCTTGTGCTGTTTCTGATCAATCATATGCAGCGTGAGATTCTTTATTTGTATGAAACATTTTGGTGGCGTTTATACATAAGATTTTATTAGTTACTTAATATTTTTATCAATATTTTATTGCTCATGGAAAAATGGGGTTCGGTTTCTTTAAGAAGGAACACATCGTATTTCTTTCTTTTGGCCAAGTCCTTAATTAAGTACAGGGTGACAACTCTTGGGTCTGAAACATCAAACAGCACTGTTTGTCTTCTTAAATTCATGGAGCTAGAAGAATATGGTGTTGCTCCTTCTCGAATTGCTTCTATGAGCTGCACTATCTGGACAGCAGATTGCAACTCTAATGCTAGAGAAGCAGTGATAGGCAAGTTCCTTCCTTTGTTTTAACTTGCTCTGTTTCACGGTTATATCTTTGGATGTATTAGCTCTTACAACTCTTTCCTCCCGTACTGCCACACCAAATGTTGTTTCAGTTTCTTCTTTTTGAGCTGCAAAACTGGGATGGATACAGTTTTGTCTGAAACTGCATATTTAAACAAAACACTTCACTATCGCAAATAACCTCAACATTGGTGGGCAATTTAGTTGATCAGGCAAATGAGGAGCACCAACTGTTTGTTTGTTACTGGTTCATGCTAATTACTGATTGATTGTATTGTTCATATTGTCCAGGGACAAATTTAGGAGCCGCTTTGGTCAATTTAGAAACAGGAATCATATCATGGTTGTGCCGAAGTAAAAGTGATGTTTTGTCCCAGCAGCTTAATAAGGCGGTAATGTGCTGCCATAGTTTTCTTAGTTATATACTGTTACACAGTTCATGGGGCAGTGTTTAATTCAATTCTGTAATTTGTTTATGCTGTAGGGAAATGTCGTTCTATGTGGACTGCGAAATGGGGCAATCTTGTCAGTTGATACTCGTGAGAAACAAGGTCATTCTGGTAGACGCAGTCATAGGGTACAGTCTATACCATTGGGCAATCGTGCTCAACATCGTGCATCATGGTTTAGGGTATGAAATTCTATTTCCTTTGGTTGATAATCGTGCTCAAAGAGTTAATACTGTGGCGATGACTAGATAGGTACTAAGTTGTGGATGTGTTCAATTGATCTGTATTCTCGGGTAAACTTGGCTTAATTTTTTGTGTGGGAGAAAAACAAATACTTTGGAAGATGAAAAAAAAGCTATGTGAAGCTCTGAGTTGAAGTTTGAGCTTAAGCTGGGCTACTCAGAATGATACTTTTCTCTGCAGTGGTTTATTTACGTAACATACTGAATGAAGGGATCTTATAACGTTGATCTGAATCAATCATTAATGTAATGTCTTGCATGCCAAAATGCTTAAAGATGTTATCCTAATAATATCAAATCACTAAATGGTTGCTTACTGTCGATCTACTTGAATGGATAAATATTAACCACATTAATGAATTCATTAATAGTAAATGACACAGATCTGGAAGTGGGCATGAAAGTTTAAAGGTGCTTTAGCTCTGTCATTTGTGCTACAGTTTTCTGCATGGCTAGCTGGATGATCCCTTTTCATATCGTTTGCAATTTGCCTTCCTTTCCATTCATTGTCAAATGGGATTATCTGTGGTTTTCCTGAACACAAAGCTTACTGCAGTGTTTTGTTCCTCTCCAAGTTGTTTGGTGCTTACCACATCTTTTTTACTTCTTCCCAGGTTGAGGGGAATATAGATCCAGCTACTACGGTTTGCATGCCCTCATCTGTTTGCAGGTTTGTATGCCTGCTGAATCCATCTGGGTAAATTAACAATTTTATGTATGAAAGATTTTTTAACCCAGCCTGCTTGTTGTAACTTTACAGTTTAGTCTCACTTCAGCTTTACGACCAATATTTCTTGGCCAGTTCGATGGATGGAGCGGTTAGTTCTTTTTCTCCCTTCCAGTTAATTGAACATTTCTTGGGTGTTTGTGCACACTTAGTAACTAGTAAGTAACTTTTGCTCATTGTTAATCACCTGAAACTCATTTCCTGTGTGAACAAAATTTACCAAATAAATCAATTTCCTGATGTCATTTGTTACCGAGTCAATGCCATTTTAAACAGTGGGCCCATCATGCAATTAGCTTGGGTTGGAAGGATTAGATCTCTTCTAATCCTCAATCACTCTTTCCACCATGCAGATCAAGTTATACGATCATCGCTTGACCAACAGAGGTGCTGTACAGGTATATGAAGGCCATGTGAACTCTCATACACGATTACAGCTCAAAGTCGACCCCTCTGAGAGGTTTCTTATGGCAGGTATGTCACTATACATGATGTTATATACAAGTTATACAGTTGCAGAAGCTTCAGGAGTTCAAAATATAGGGCGAGTGTGTGTTAACTTTGCTTGAAAGGAAACACCTTTTTTAAGTCGCTGTAAAAGTGAGAATATTTTTACGTTGGGGCGGAGATAGAGTTTGAGGGGATGGGATATGGAATATTTTGAGTAACAAAAAGTTAATGATGGGAGATAGTTTATTATCTTATTTTATAAGAAAGAAATAAGTGGATTTTGTTAGTGATTTGGCATTTAGATTTAGATAAGTTGTGCAATTTATGGCGTATAGTAATCCTAACAAATTCTGTTTGAATTTTTGACCACACCAGTTTAAAAAAAATGAAAAGAGGATTTAACTCACCCGATATCTCTGTTCTACCTGATTCCACTAGGTGGAGAGGACTGTCATCTACGTCTTTGGAGTGTCAAGTCTGGTAAGCTGCTCTTTGATGAAAAAGTATCTGATGCAGTCCCCTCAACTGTGTGTTGGCAGAAAGGCAAGCTAGCTCATTTTTATTTTTACTGTTATGTGGATAGGAAGGGTTTATGCTTGGATGGTTTTACGATATTCACCGCTGAACCGGATTTCTGCAGGGCTATTGGAGGCAGCAACAACATCGTCCGGTGACAGTAAATCCGTCGAAGAATGTTCATTTGGTGTAAGCCCTAGTTTCAGGGCATGGTGTGGATCTAGAGATGGTCTCATCTACACTTGTTGGCCTTGAGACAACACCCCAAAGCAATGATATGCCTTCTTGAAAATAACTTTGCACATACAGAAAGCCTCGATCATAGTAAGTTTTTGCTGTACATGTGGTGGTTATGGTACATGTAGGATGCAAGTTCTTTTTACCTTTTGTGATGTAGCTTATAGGCTACAACTACAGATATAGGCGATACAGCAAGTTAACAACTACGAACACAGTTACCTTGTAAGAATCTGTTAGGGGATCCTTTGCCTCATAAATTTTGCAACTGATGATGATGGTCTTTGTATGTTGTGTAAATGGGGGCATACCGAGGGCAGGTGTCATGGTGTCGTGGAACTGCACGACGAGGTTTTGCTTGCTGGGAAGGGTTGGCCGTCGGATGCTCCTCTCCTGCATTTTGCCCTCTTTTGGTAAAGTAAGAAAAAGCAACGACACACACTATACTAGCATTGGCCTTTTCCTTTCGCTGGAGGAGACAGGTTAAAGTTTCTGAAGCTTTTCTTGGTCTTTGAGAGTGACTAGGACTAGTCTAGTTAGTCTTTTGAAGGCACAGTATGCTACTGTGGAGAGGGTTTTAGGCTTTTAGCATAGTTAGAACGCGTCGGTTGCTGCATGAGGCTGAGGGCCGAGTGGAGTCGACTTGGGTAATTAGTGTTCAAAAGGGGACAACTGATAGAAAAGAAAAGGTGATTGGAATCTGCTTAAGTTCAAAATCCGAAAGTGGGGAGGAAAGTTATTCCCTTTTGATTGTAAGAGTGGATAGTCTTACGTACCTGCTCCACCCAAATCCATCCTCGACCCCTCCAAAAAGAGGACAAAGTTTATGTAATGCCAAAGGGCGAGGGGCAGAGCCATTTCACCATGAACAATCCTCCTGTAACGTCCCTGTCAGAATTGGGTAATAGTCATCACCCAGGGAAAGCCTAGAGATTACCTATGAAAGGTAGCAGGCTGCATGTTATAGTGCTTTTGGAGCTTGTAACTTGGTCATTTCGAGTTTTGCTTGTAAAAGGATTGTGCGCAGTTGGGTACTATAACCTGATTTCATGTTCATCTCGCGCTACTAGTTTTGGCTATCGAAAACGGCTCATCTAAGCAACAATGCCTTTCGACCTCTTTAAAGGTAGAGAATGGATAGCGGGTGTCATACCAAACACAATGTTTCCAATCATTTGCTTTATTCAGCAAAACTCGGTTTGAGCTCCTACTATCGCGAGGAAAACCTTGGAGAAAACGAGCTACTAGCTAGCAGGTGCGAGCTAAAGGGTGGGTATTGTTGAAAACTCTGAATGCGCATATCGAATATCTCTGCCTCCAGAACATGATTTAGAAACATGAAGGAGTGTAGCTGAGCGGCATGAATTCATAATTGTTTGGTCTGAGTTTTTTAGACCATGGGCTCTGTTCCATTACGCGACTTAAAGAGTTGGGAGCTGCTTTTGAGAAAGGTTGGAGAAAAGGGGTTTAGTGTAAAAAAGAAGCAAGTAATGATGGAAAGGTCATCCTTTTCCTCCCATTTAATTTGGTGTCTTGTCAAACATTCTGCATGAAGGATGAATTGCATTGAACCCCATTCCCACCACTAACCCTAATGAAACCCTCTCTGGCATCTTCACGTGGTTGAACTCCCAACCCGTTCTATAATTGATTGGCCTCACCTCACCTCACCTCACCTCTCATCTCATCTCATGTATAGTATCTGCAGACTGCAGGGCCAACCTGCTTTTCCGTGGGAACAAACAACACACAACCCATTTTCCCGAGAACGTTATCAATCATCCCAATTATAACGAGACTGGCATTTGCCATCGCAGCTGCTGCAGGGGCAGGGCACTCTGCCTAACAACTTGATTGATAATAAGCCTAAGTAAGGGATTGGGACGATGACTTTCTTTTAAAATATTACACTTGACTGATAGCGCTATAAAATATATACAGTGTCGAACTCACTTTTAAAATATTATCGGGACAAACTAGTTCTGTTAACATGATATTAGATCTTGATGGACTGAGAAATCTTGTGTTGCACTTGTGGTAATTAACGTCAAGTATTAAAATATTGTTTAAGCACAACCAATAATATTAACTCCAACCAAGTTACTGACTTGGGTGAAAGTTAATTTCGTTTTTAAGTCGAGAATCAGCGCCCACATTATACAGAAGAAGCCCAAGGAAGGAAGGAAGGGTAAGAGACAGACAGGCAGATCCGTGGATTGTGGTGCGGCCGAGTGTCCCAAACCGTGAAACAGACAGTCCAGTCCAGTCCAGTCCACATTATTGCGATTCATGTCATGGAAAGTGAGAGAGACGCCACCAAAAACAACCCAAACAGAAACTTCCATCAGCTAACCGACGAAACTGTACAAACAGAGAGAAACCAGAAATCAAAGAAAAATAAACCACAGAGAGCTACAGAAGCTAAGAGTACTAGAACAAGGCGCCAGAGTTGGACTGCACAGAAGAAGAAGAAGAAGAAGAAGAAGAAGAGAGAAAGAGAGTTTGGTTTTAGTGCAGTTAGTACTGATATATAGCTTAACTTGACAGCCTTTCTTTCTTCTTCAGCTTCCTTACTTACCCTTTCAGCAGCTCAGAGAGACAGAGGTGCATGCATGGCCATGGAAAGGCAGCATCAGTTCAGTACAACAAGTATGGAACGAGGAGCGGGGCAAATTAAAGGCTATTTTTGGGAAATTTTCGAAACAGAAATTAAGGGACCCTTCTTCTCTTCTCTTCTCTTCTCTTCTTTCCTTCCCCTTTGGCTGAACCTGTCCCCACGGGCCACCGGTCCGGTCCGGTCCGTGCCATTATGTTATGTGTCTGGTCTGCTACATTACAACCACCCGCACGCAAAACCATGCTCGCTAGCTGTAGTCTATTCTTCGATCTCTCTTGTTGTCGAGTTGTTGTTATTTGTTAATGAATTTCTTTCTTTGTTTTAACTAATTTATGCACCATAGAAGCTAATTAGTGAGTAATGAAAGGACCAAAACTCGCATTAATCATCTGCTCCACTTCTTCCCTGTCTTTGTCTTATACTGAAATATTTATTTAACGATTTTAAAAGAAAATCCTCATCCTTAATTAACGTATGAAAATTAAGCCGCCCTACAAGTATATTGGTTCTAAAAAAAATCTTAGTTATTAGTAAAACAACATAATGTAAGTAGCGCTAACTCTGCAAGACAAGCTTATAGTCTGGGGTAGGGGTGGATATACGGTCCGGTCCGGTTAAATTGGCCCAAATTGATCCGGTCCAGTCCAGTTTTTTTGAGAATATAAGGACCGAAGATTGGATTGGATACAGTCCGGTCTTGACCCGGTCCGGTCCCAATTCGGTCTTGATTTTATATTGAGATTATGGAAATTTGAGTGGCCTAAGGCCTAAAAGGGTGAGGAGTTGGTTAAGTTTTGTACTAAGTGTAAAGGTTTGTGACCGTTTATGCAAATTACCCTTAAGTTTTGGGTGTTGAGCTCTCTTATCCGGTCTTTATCCGGTTTTTTACCTCAAATCTAAGCCCAAAGATTGGATTGGATTGTTTACTATCCGGTCCCGGTCCGGTCTCGGTCCGGGTTATACGGTCCGGTTTCCAGTTTTTCATCCGGTCCCGGTCCAAATAGCCAGCCCTAGTCTGGGGGAAGAATGTGACTGACGTGATCATTTATATATGGGTTATAATATGCCCCTCATTTTATCAAACATGCCCTTGTACTTTAGAAAAATGATAAAAAATGCCCTTCTGTTAATATTTTCATCCAAAAACAGTCAATCATGGTCGTACCTTGGTTTGGGCGATACAAATTTCTAAAATATCCTTGGTAATTTCACTTTAAATTCTTTTGGGTTCTTTTGTAGAGCCAAATACCTCTAATAATTTCACTTTAACGAGACTTAGAAAAATAAAATGGGGAACAAAACTAACATTTTCGCTCTCATTTGCCGATGTCGGGTCATCTACATCTCGGTTCAACCATGGTTGGCGATTTTTTTAATGGAAATTTAACAGAAGGGCATGTTTGATCATTTTTCCAAAGTACAAGGGCATGTTCGATGTAAAAAATAGTCTAGGGGGCGTGTTTGATAAAACTACATAGTAGAGGGGCATATTATACATATAGCTCTTTATTATATGGTTGAGTGGTGTAGGTGGGAAGAATAATGCTGGAAGATTGATGTAGTGTCCAGCCATTTGCACTCTCCTATCTATCCCGTTGATGTGTGTTGTTGCGGAACATTGTTCGTCGCAAGGTTTTGTGTGAGTATTATAAAATTGATATATGTTGATATATTTTGAAATGGTGAAGGATTCTCTTAATTAGTATAGTTACTGATAATACTTTTCTTCAATGCGTATGGTGCAAAAGTAAGTAGAGAGTTGGCTTTTCAGAGAAGAGAAAGGAAAGGAACGACAAGCCGGGATCATAAAAGGAAACCCAAGCTGCTTTTTTGACTAACCAACAAAGCAACCAAATCGTACAAATTAAAGCACCTCTCCCGACTCTTATCTCTGGTCGTTGCATATATTCCTCACTCTAGCTAGCATATGAGCATTTGATATATAAGGTGCCTTCTAATTATCTAATGTATATTAGAGTATAACATATTTTTAATAAGGTACATTATTTAGATCACAAATTAACTAGAATATATGTAGGGGTTGTTTGGATGAGGAATTGTAACGAATTAATTTGACACAATTGTCTCGTTTTGAGACAATTGTACCAGGGGTCGTTTGCTTGAGGGTTTTGGTGATGGATTTGGTCATGGAAATATATCCATCATGGACTTGAACCGAAATCCATCGTTTGCCTTAGGGAATTAGAGAGATGGAATTTGTGGGGCCCACCTCTTTTGGGGTTCCAAATCCGTGGACCCCACGGACTTGGAAGTTTCACCTCTTGAGGTGGGATTTGGGTGATATTTAAAATCCATGATGGTAAATTACCTTTCTACCCTTAATTATTCCTTTAATTACAAATTTGTCCTACTTTAATTCAATGGTCATGGAACTGTAAACTTTAATAATTTCGTATTTTATAAATATGAGAATTTATCATTTCATTTTGTAATATCGTATTTTATTTAAATGTGAATGTATATGTGATTTCTTAGATTCACCTAGAAACACTTTATGCTCATCTTGTACATTATTATTTGATTGATTGTCGGATTCCACATCGGTGAGTTAGCAAGAAGATGATGAGTTGTAGCAATAAAGCGAGCAATTGGCTGCAATTGATACATAATATTGCGTACATTATTAGATGACTTGTTAATTAGTGCCAAATTGTAATACATTTCTATATTTGTACTTGAATTAATCCACATAGTGGTAAAGAGTTTAAAATTTATTTCTATGTTTTGGATTAGTTTTAAATGAAAGATTTGGATTAGAATATCGAAATATAATTAAATAAGGGTAACTAGGTAATTTGTATTTAATATCCACAAATCTAATCAAACAAAGTCCATAATCAAATCCATCAAGCAAACAATAGACTTGTTCAAATCCATAATGCCACCAAATCCATCATATATCCATGGTTTTCCAAAACCCAGGTTTTACCAAAAC